AAAAAAAAAAAAAGATGAAAAGCAAAGCAACCAACCGACCAAGCAAAGAGGCAACAACCAAGTGAACGTCCCGTCTGTCCACACACACGCACCGAGTCCCGGAGGAGACTGCGGAGCGCACGGAGCGCTGGGACGCGCCCACAGCCGGCAGCCCGCAGCCCCAGGCCCGGCCCGGGCCCCACGTCTTCCTTCGCGCCCGGCGCGGTGCCGGCGCGCGGTCCCGCCCGGCTGGGCTCAGCTCAGCTCCCGGCCCCCAGCGCGTCGCGGCTCCGGGCCGAGCGGCAGCACGTCGGGGTGCGAGGCTCGGCCCCGCGCGGGTGTGCTGGGCGCTGCAGGGGACGCGCCTCTGCGTTTTAAAGGGAATTTTTGTTAAGAGGAGCTTGCAACTCGCTTGCGTTCCCCTCCCGCCTGTCCCTGTCGCACCCGAGGCTCGCCTGCCGCGGGGCTCCCCGCGCTGAGCTGGGACGGGGACCGATGGGACGTCACGGCCGCCCCCCGCCCGCCGCAGGGACCCCGGTGGGCGCGCGGTCCCCCCGGTGCGGCCCCGTCCCACGTCGGGGTGACCTCGGCTCAGCCGCCCCCGCCCCTCGTGGCTCCGCCACTCGTCAAACCTCACTTTATAGTCTGCAGACGCCCCGACGCTCCAGCAACGAGTTCCCCCTTTTCTATTCCCCGTGTACATAGCCCCGCCCGGCCGCCCCTGTACAAACCCCCATCGCTGTACTGGCTTCTTCCTTACAGCAAAGCCCCGCGCCGGCCCCGGCTGCAGGCTGGCGCCGGCCCGTCCTGTATGCTTCAAAGGTGTGACCATTCTAATAAACAGTATTATTATTATTATTATTATTATTATTACTACAAGGATTATTAATATTATTATTATGGAAATTATTAATAAAGATTTCTTTCTTCAACCAGGGCGACTCCAGTTTTGACTGGGGCGAGGGCGCAGCGGAGCTGGGGGTCCCTACGTTGCGGCAGGGTCCCAGCTGTGCCGAGCCCTTCCTTTTCCAAACCACCCTATAATTTATTTCAGAGCAATTTGCCCACGGAGGAGCAGCAGCTTCAATGCTGACATATTAATTTTCCTGAACGGGAGCCAGTATTGTCTGTGGGACCGGGGCCGGCGCTCTGAGGGAGTCGGGGCTGCACGACCCTGCTGCGCGGCACGCTCGGCTACGTCCCTGCCTGCTAATTGCTTGCTCACCAGACTGTGATAAAATAATTGCTGCTATAAATTTTCTCTCCTTCTCCACACAAGATATCCAAGGGAGCCGCTGTGGGTGGAAGCGCCGGCTGCCAGCCCTTAAAGAAGGGACAGCACCGAGGCAGGTTCATGAAGGGTGCAGCTCTTTGGGGCTGCAAGTGGAACCCTAAAACTTAGCCCTGAGCGGCGGTGTCCCCATATCTCCTACCCCACCCGGTGCAGGGGACACACGGAGTCAGGGCTGTGCCACATTCACCTTTAATGCCCAGCTCGGTTGCTGCCACCAGCCGGCTCAGAGTACACCAGCAGCAGCCGGCCCCATTGCTCCGGGCCCACTGGCAGCTCGCTGGGCAGCACCGGCTCCACCAGCAGCTCCAGCTGGCACGACTGCCCGGTTGCAGGCCGTGGCACCGCCAGCCCCACCGCACGGTACTGGCAGCCATGTGCCAGCCCCAGGAGCTGCGGCTGCGGCGGCTGCGCCCGGTGGCACCGTGTGCCCTGGCTGAGCACGCGGAAGCAGGCAGCCCGCCTGGGGGGAAAGGCCCAGCGCAACGTGAGGCTGAGGGAGAGCTGCTCAACGTTGGGGCCATCCTGCCACCAGAGCTGCGAGGCTGTCAGGCTCTGCACCTGCGGTGGAGAGGCTGCCATGCTGCCCGCATCCAGCACCTGCGGAGGAGAATGTAGCACCATCAGCACAAGGCATGGCTGTGGCTGGGTTTGCATCCCACCATGCAGTGAGGATGTGCACAGCACCCACCCGGAGCTCCCCCAGGAGACAGCTGAAGCTCGTCTCCTGTGAGCTGGCCTGTTTTCTGGACACCAGCAGGGAGAGGTCGCGCAGGCTGCAGCCCTGCAGCTCCTGCTCGTAGCACCTGGGGCAGAGGAACAGAGCTGGAGCAGGGCTGGGGATCCCTGCATGCTTGGCGCAGGGTGCTGGCAGGGCACTCACCGGCTGGTCCAGCCCTGGGCACCGTGACTGCAGGCAGCAAGTAGCCTGGAGAGGGCAGGTGGTGGGGCTGGGAGAAGACGGGGGTGGTGGAGGCTGTGGGGCTCTGTGGGAAGGCAAAATGAGCTGAATCAGTGCTGTGCCCTGCAGTGAGTGTGGGCAGCACAGGAGGCATAGGGTCCTCACCGTCCTCACTCGGCAGCACAGTGACAGTGCTGTCATGGCATCTGCTCGAGTGCCAGGTGGTGAGCTCCAGGGCAACCGTGAAGTCATCCCCGTGTGGCCCCTCCATCTTGTAGAGCAGGTTCAGGAAGAGCTTGGGAGGTGCATGCATCTGGAAAGAGAAAAGGCTGATGACCCCAAATCCACCCAGAGAGAGACAGAGAGAGAGAAGAGAGAAAGAGAAGGTACATTGGGTTAGGCCTATCGGGCAGCACTCGCCACAGCGCTTTGTGGCACTCAGCACAGGGCTGGCACAGCTCTGCCAGGGCCTCCTGCAGCCATGCCCTGCCAGCACAGTGCCAGCCATGGAGGTGGGAAGTTGGCACCCAACTCACCGGATGGCCACGCGCTCCTCGCCGGGAGGGATGGTGCCCTGCACCCGCAGGGAGCTGCCCCCACACCAGGCATCCTGCAGGCAGCAGCTGGTACTCAGTTGGCCCCGGCGCTCTGGATAAAGGGGTTGGATCTCCTGGGCGCTCAGGTTGTACCATGGCCCGGCCTCTTCCTCCTACAGGACAGGAAACACTGGGCAGCAGGGAGCCGGAAGCAGGACCCAGTGTCCACACCCAGCCCTGGGGGCCGCAGCCAGGCTGCTCCCTGCACCCACCTTCCCAGCGAGGAACATGCCAGTGCCCATTCCCACACTGAAGGAGGTGGCGAGGGGCAGCGTGCAAATGCTGTGCGTGGGCAGGTAGTCTTCCAGCAAGCCCCAGAACCTGGGGGAAAGGGTGGGCATCAGAGCAGAGACCTTTGTTGCAGCCAGACCAACCAAAGCATGCAGGCATCCTGCACTCACTTGTTCTCGTTCTGCAGGAAGTTCTCCTCTCCCAGGTGTTCGTAGACCCAGCCAGGAGCAAAGATGGCTGCAGACAGGCCGTGCTTGCGGATCAGGCTGAGTGACTGCAGAGACAAGTGGAGAGCAGCACAGAACTCAGGGGGGGCGGGGTGGTCACTCTGTCCCCTGCCATATCCACTCTCCATGAGGTCCTGTTGGTCCCACTGGATGCCAGAACCATGGTGAAGGGATGGTACTGCAGCATTGCCCTTCCCAGGGCCTGCAGCACTAGGATCTCCCAGCCCCAGCCCTGTGCACACCGGATCCCAGGCTTCCTCAGCTCTCACCAATGCACCCTGAGTTACCCCAGCACAGTGTGGATGAACCATTGGAGAGAGCTGAGAGCCACGCACCAGGGGCAGACACACAATCCTGCTTCAACCACACACACCTTGTTGGTGTCAAAGCCACCGCCAACCACGTCCCCACGAGCAAAGACATCGACACCAATGTAGACGTCAGCGTGGCGCTGCCCAGCCAGCTCACGTGTGCGCTCCAGGTGCTCCTCCTTCCAGTTGTAGTTGACAAACAGCCCATCACAGGCATCAAAGAACAACCTGGAGATGAGGGTCAGTGCAGGAGCACCCCAAGGGGCAGTGCCAGCCGTGCCTTGAGCTCCATAGTCGTTGAATGCCAAGGTGTGGGATGGACTTGTGCCTCACCACGGCTGGTTTTGCTCACGCAGGCACATGCCCCACCTCTCACCTATTCTGCTCATTCAGCTCATTCTGCCATCTCAGCGTGCCACTCTCCACGATGCTGTCATACCAAATCACCAGCCCTCCCGGCACCGCGCCGTGCACCTGCGCAGTCAGATGCCGCAGGAAGGGGGACAAGTTCCCCACCGCCGCCGCCTGCCAAGAGAGAGCAGAGAGCAGTTGGACACAGGATGGCCCCATCCACGGGGACCCACGGTGGGGCCTGGGGTTGAGCCCCGTGGGGCAGGATGCAGGCAGGGCGTGGGCTGCTCACGCTCAGTGCATTCTCCATGTTGATCAGCCAGCCATCAAAGCGGTAGTGTTGGGCGATGCGGGCCAGCTGGTGGCTCACGGCACGGTACGCCTCCTCCCCACCCGCCAGGAATGCCTCGCACAGCTTCTCACCGTCCGTCCACTCCGTGATGAAAGTGCCTGGGGAGGAATGGGAGCAGCGTTGCTGTGTGTCCCTGCAGGCTCCCAGCACCCCACCACCCCGGTTCTGCCCTCACCCAGCACCGGGACGCCGTTCCTGTGTGCCGCGTTGGTCCAGCACACAGGTGGGATGGTGACAGTGTGGTGGCTGAAGTAGACGAAGATGTCGATGTAGCGCCAGTGGTAGAAGACGTACGGGTTGCGTGTGGCTGAGCCCTGGATGAACCTGTGGCAGAGCAGAGGGAAGCATTGAGCAATGTTGGAGAGACACCATGGAGCCAGGCAGGACCTGAGTCAGCCCATGAGTTGGGCACTGTGTCACTCCTATCACTCCAGCGGGGCTGGCCCTATCCACAGAGCTCCAGAGCCAGAGATAAACCCCTTTGGCCCCACCTGGAGAGGGCAACAGCAGGAAACAGATCAGACACTGAACTGAAGGCTGGAGAAAGGGCAGCAGCATGCCGGGAGTGCATGCACCCATTCCCCAGGTGTCACACACCTGTCCTCCAGGTGTCACACACCTGTCCTCCAGGTATCCACCACGCATGTCGTGACACAGCAGCGTGCGGGATCTCTGGCTGTGCAGTGGGGGTTGACGCTGGGCCAGCGGCACCGCACAGATGTTGAAGTCATCATCGCTGTTGGGCTGCCAGGCCAGCAGCTCCTCAAGGCCGGACAGGAAAAAGCTGATGGGCTCCGTGGTGCCGGTGTCGAAGTACCGAGCTGGGGAGGCAATGAGCCGGGACCGGGGTCAATGGGGTCGGGGTGCGTGGGGGGGCTCAGGGCGGCCCGTCCCGGCCCCTCACCTGGCAGCGGCTGCGGGCGGGTGCTGACGGCTGCGTGCAGCACGGTGGTTCCCAGAGGCTCCGCCGCCGGCTGGAAGCTGCCCGGGGAGAGGAATGAGGCCGGTGGCCGCCCGGCACTCCGCGCCCCGCTCCGTGTCCGCCGCCGCGCCGAGCCGGGCAGCACCGCGGCCAGCGCCCGCCGCACCGGGCCTCGCTCCGAGCGCTCCGCGCCCCGGTCCCGGCTCCCGTCCCCGGCCCAACCTCCGCCGCCGCCGCCCGCCCCGCTCCTCCTCTTCCTCTTCCTCCTCCTCCTCCTCCGCCGTTCTCTTCCCGCGCCGCGCAGCCCCGTCCAGCGCCGCCGCCGCCTCCGCCATCGCGCTGCCGCCGCTCCGCCCGCACTGCCGGCAACGTGCGCCGGGCCCGGCCTGCCTGCGGGAGGCGCGGCCCCACGAGCTCCGCCCGGCCCCGGCCCGCCCTCACCGCCCGCCCCGCCGCGTCCTGAGGGCGGGCGCAGCGCCGAGCTGGGCTGAGAGCCGCTCGGGTTCCGCTGGCCCCGCCTGCAGCCCCGCCGTGCCCCGCAGAAGCTGGGCCCTGAGCGCTGCTCTCTGCCTGGCCGTGCCCGGCTCTCGCGGTGCCCCTGAGCACAAAGCGACGAGATGAGATGGAAGTGTGAGTAGGAACCGAACCCGTGGGGTGTTTAATGCGATCACAAGTGTACGGAGGGGGAGGCAGCCCCCGGCCCTGCACTGCCAGTGCGTCTACAAAAACAAAAAGCCTGCCCAGCAGATCTCCAGATGAGAAGGATGGGGCTGAGGCTGAAGGCCCTGCATGTCGGGCAGCTGGGAGCCAGCTCTTCCCGATGGGTGCTGGCATCGAGATGTGGCTGTGGCACGGGGCACAGCGAGGGAACTGACATGAGAGGGCTGCTGCACCCACCTGCTGCTTGCTCTGCCCTGGGGAAGCACCAGCCCAGGGGACACAGCTCTGCAGAAGCGATGTTCAGTGGCTTTATAACTGCTCCCCCCCATTCATCAAGTGCATTGGTGGGGGTTGGCAGCAGAGGTGCTCACATCACTCCAGCAGGTGCCAGCTTACGAGCCAGTGCCACGGACACCCAGCACACCCAGCCCTGAGCCTGGCACAGGTGGGGACGAGGTCCCTGCCTGCTCCAGGTGAGCAGCCAGCCCTTGGGTCAGGGATACGGCAGAGGTTACAAATGTCTCCATCTCCTCCAAGTGCACTCAATCAACTTCCAGGAGCTGAGGGGAGTGGGGGGGGGGGGAAGTATTCACACAGCTGGGGGTAGTGGTATGTAGCAAGAGAGCTGGAAGGAGAGTGGCGTGCCCAGGAAGGGGAGCAGCAGGGCCTCTGCAGGCCCCCACCCCAGGGAGCGGGATGGGGGTGTAGGACTCATGGGTCCCCGCTGTACTTGATGAGGTGCCCACTGAAAGTGATGTAAGTGTCATACTCATCACTGAAGACAGCGTTCTCACGCTCGCCCTTGTAGAGCCTCACCCAGACCTCATCCTGCTCACGCAGCTCCAGCATGACGCTCTGGCTCTGCATGATGCTGCGGTCGCTCACCTGCGCATAAAGGATCACCACCTCGGCTCCGTTGCGCATGATGTGCAGGTAGGTCTCCTTCTGGTTCCAGGTGTGCACGTTCAGGCTGAAATAGTAGATCCCGGGGACGTAGCAGTAGAACTTCCCCGTGAACATGTTGAAGTGGTCGTAGAGGTTGACGAACTCCGTGTCGAAGATGAGGGTTTGGTAGTAATCGTTGCTGTGCAGGGGTTTCTTGCGGCCCACCGAGAAGGCAGCGTAGTGGCTCTTGCAGCGTTCCCCCGGGGCGCCTGCGCTGCCCTTCTGTCCTTTGGGCCCCGTGTGGCCCCTGCTGCCGGCCACCCCTGTCTTGCCGAACTTCCCCTGCATGCCCCGCTCACCGCGTTCTCCCTTCTCACCTGGCAGAGCACAGGGGATGGTTGGACACCAGTTCCATCTCCCACCCAGCACTGGGAGTGGGACAAGTGCCGGGCTGCAGGTCTGGCTGTAGGCAGTGCCCCGCGGCCCTCACCTTTCAAGATGGTCATGTTGATCTGGGGCTGGTACCGGGGGTAGAAGCGGTGTTCGGGTGGCTCGCAGCAGCGGACGCAGTGGGGCCGTGGGGGCAGCTCCTCCTGGGCACCGCTGTCCTTCTGCTCCTGTGTGGCCCTGGGGAGGGCAGAAAGCAAAGCGCAACAGGAGCTGCGCGTGGGGGCCGGGCCCTTCCTGGCACTAGGGGCTGCCCCATCCCCAGTGGGAGCACCTCTGTCCCCAGGGCCCTCTCACCTGACTGCCTGGTGCTTGGATGGGACCTCCTCGGGCTCCGCTGGATGCTGGTCAGGGTTGGGGCTGGTCTGGCTGCTCACAGGGTTGGGAATCAGCAGGCAGGAGAGCAGCAAGACTCCGAGTGTCCAAAATCCCTCCATGCTGCAGCAGCACCCTGTGAGACACCAGAGTGACTGAGGGGGATGGCAAAGACCAGTAGTGTCCAGAGTGGGCAGGGGGCAGGTGGGGATCAGGGCTCTACAGCAGGGTTGGGCTGGTGGGAAGGGACAGTGTGGGAGCATGAGAGCAGCAGGGCACAGCCCGGCTATGGGGCTCCCTGCCAGGACCAGCAGCTGTGGGGTCCAGGCAGGGTTCTGAGTTTCCCACCTCCTCGCCAAGGGACAGGGCTCATGGGTCCACCCCCAGTGCTGTGTTCTGTCCCCAAGAGTTGTTTGTTCTGCACTGCTGTGTCAGCCTGTCTGTGCCCTGCATTGTGCCCAGCACAGGCTATGGTGCACTACGTACCAGCACAGCCATACCTCCAGCCCTGAAAATGGCTCTTTTTGCAGCACCACTTCTCCAGCAGAGCCCACAACAAGGGCAAGTGCATCTCTTGCAGATGCAGAGACTATCTGTAACTAAATGGCTGCTTTTATCCACCTAAGCCCCCATACCTCAATGATGCTCCAGGAAGTACCTATTCCTGGGGGATCCCAGACTTGCCCATGGGGGTCTGCATCCCTCACTGAATGCAAGCATCCTGTGACAGCAGCTGCCATGCCCCAGGAGCTGCCAGCTCCCAGTCCTTATGCCTTGGTTCTTTGTGGGGTTTGCAAGGGAACCCAAACTGCTTCTCCTGAACCTCAAGTGCTGCTGGTGGCCCTGGCCAGAACCCAGCCACTGGCAGCTGGGAGTCCACATCCTGATGGGGCCAAAGCTAACATTAGCGATAGCGAGTGGCACTGCAGCCCAGCCCTTCCTCGCCTTATCGCTGCCATATCAGCTCTGAGGCATGGTGCAATTACCCTGCACTGCGCCCTATGGCCCCGAAGGCGCCAGGAGAGCATGTGGCACCTCCCTGCTGCTGGCAGCACTGGTGAGGTGGGCTCCTGCCAGGGCACAGCTCTGTATGCCCAGGTCTGCAAAGGGCCCCTTGTGCCACAGTCCATGTCCTGGGCGTGAGCTGGGCAGTGGGGTCCTGATGGGAAGAGGCAATGGGGGCCCCGCTGGACTTTGAGGCAGAATCCAACAGTTTGGTGAATGCTGCTTTCAGTGCCTGGGTCCTCAGTTAGCGACGGTCAGGGTGGAACTGCCTTGGGGTGGGCTGTCTGTGGGCTGTGTGGACCAGGATAGGCATGCTCCAGAAGCGGGAGCAGAGGGCGTTCGAGGCCAGGATTCCTGGCTCATGAGTCATGTTCAAGGAACAGGGAAAGGGTGGAGGAATGGGGAAAAGCTCCAAAGGGCTTTCCCTCTGCGCCAGCCCTCTGCAAAGAGCCCAGCCCTTCACACGCTTCCCCCACACCCACCCTGTCCCAAGGAAGTCTTGGAGCGGGGTTGTCCTCAGCTTGCTGCCCAATGCTGGAAGCAGAGCTGGTGGCACCACGGGCTGTGTGGCATCGTGGGCAGCCTGGCACCGCTGCCTAATTGCCATGCCCTGGCCTGCTACCTGCCCATGCTCAACTCTGTGTGCCAGGGAGAAGCAGCACAAGCAGGCCAGCCCAGGGCTCGTGAGCAGATACCATCCTGGGAGCTCAGCCCTGGCTCTCTTCTCCCTGCCTGGCTCCAGCTGTGCCAGCCTTATGCTGGTGAGTGCAGCTCACAACCTGCAGTGCTGCTGGGAATCCGTGGCTTTTTCCCTGCTCTGGGCTCACAGTGTGCAGAGCTCCTATTGAGCCAGACGGCTCCCTGGGACCCAGAGTGGGCTCAGCCCCAGGGAAAGCATAGCTTCACAGGAGACTGCTCAGCAGGGAGAAGAAATCCTTAGCCAGGATGTTCCTACTGAGAAAGGCAGCTCGTTTCCAGGCTGTCTCAGGGCTGGAAATGGAGGCGAGCGTGCCATGCACACACAGTGCTGCCAGCAGCATGGTGTGCCCGTGGGCAGCATGCAGAGCTCCCAGCCCTGAGCACGTCTGCCTCTGCACCCCGCAGGCACGCCGGGCAGGCAGCACGCGTCTCTGCACGGGCATACATAGTCTTGCTGAAGGGACTCTGTTTTTTCCTGTCAGGGTTGGATGCTCTCCAGGAGCGGTTTGGAGATTTAAATTCAGTGGCTGCTAAAGCCTTGGGACTGCAAGTCAAAACATCCTGAAAACATTCCAGGCAGCATTAAAGGCGAGGATGAAAGAAGAGCAAATGCCGGGGGGAGGAGCGAGGGGGCTTAGCGCACAGGGGGGTCTAGAGGCAGCAGGACCAGCATGCCCACCTCGCCCTCCTGCTCACCAGCCATGGATACAATCCTTTTTGAGTTGCAGCTGGAGATAAGCCTCCCGGCCTTTTGCCACAGCAGCTGGGACATCTGTGGAGCTGTCTGCAGATCAGGAGCAGCCCAGACCCAGCAGGCAGCAGGGTGGGAGCAGTACGGAGCAGCCAAAGGCTGACTGAGAGGTCGCAACCCTCCAGCTCCCACAGCGCCCAGCAGCACCATGAGAAGTTGTGCTCCCACCTGCAGCCACCAGTCCCTGCAGAGCTGTACTGGGTTGGCCCGGCGCTGGATTTGACGTGGTCACAGGGTGTTTTGGCCTCAGGGCTCAGAGCTGGAGCTTCAGCGCCAATTCCCTCTCAGTGCCTGCCCCCCCCGGTGCTGCTGCAGGTTGAGCTGTGCCCTTCCAACAACAGGCGAGGCTTCAGCCCCGCAGTCCCCACCGCCCTCCTGCAGGCGGGACGGAGTGCAAGCCTGACTTTCCAGAGCGAGGGTGGGACTGGGCCCCCAGGCCCAGCAGCGATGCCACAGAGCCCTACGGCACGCACAGATGCGCACACAACAGCGCTCATCCCTGTGTCTGCAGGTGACTGACCCCCAGCCCTGCCCCACACCTACCTCTGGGGCAGGGCCGCTCTCTCCCCGTGCCGCCTTTGCTGCTCTGGGGCATTGCTTGGTGCCGCGCTGCCAGACCCCTCGGCGTGGGGCAGAGCCTGCCCCTGTGACAGCCTCGTCTCCTCCTATGGCCGGGCGGAAATGCACTTCTGGAAAGCAAAGGAGGAGAGCGAAGCAGCGGGACGAGCACGGCGCAGCCCTCCCACTACCAGATGTGGGCCCAGCGCAGGCGGACGGCGTTAACCATGTGTGCTCCCTGCGCCTGCCAGCACCAGGGAACGTGGGTGTCTGTGCCAAAAAAGCAGCTCCAGATGCGAGAGGCAGCGTGGAGGGCAGTGCCTGGGGGCTGCGGCTGTCCCACGGCATGGAGCCACGGCCCTGCCCTATGCACAGCACCCCGTGGAGCCCTGAGCAGGGATGCGCCCTGAGCACGGATGCGCCCTGAGCACAGTGTTGGGCGATTTGCCACCACGTCTGTGTTGGACAGCGGGGTTTGTCCCCGCACAGCACAGCTCGGCCTGCGGAACGGGGTCCGTGGGGCGGCCGGTCCAAAAGGGACCGCGGGCGGTGGGAGAGCGGCGGCTGCCCGGGGATACGGGGCCAATGCTGGGCAGCCCCGGGCTGTGCCCACGCCATGCTCCGAGCACCGCTCCCCCGTCTCATCCGCTGCCACGGCCTCAATGGGGCTATGCCGCGTATCCCACTCAGCCCCTCTCGCCCCCCCCGCGCTGGCTTGCAGCGCAGCCGCCCCGCGGCTCCTATCGCGCTCCGCTCTCGGCCGGGCCGCACGGCACGCTTCACCCCCGCGACGCCGCGCAATGAGAGCGGCCGCGGAGCGCGGGGGCTGCTGGGAGCTGTAGTTCTCGCCGCTGCTCTGCGGGTCCCGCGCTGTTTTGGCCGCTGTCGGCTGCCGTAGCGGAGCGCGGGGGCTGCCGGGAGCTGTAGGCGGCGGCTGTCGGCGGCGGGGGAGGCGGTGGCTGCGCTCGGGCGGCGGCGCGGTGAGCGAGGGGCCGAGGGGCGGCGCGGCCGGGGGCGAGGCGGCTGCGGTGTGTTGTGACGGCTGCCCGGGAGCGGTGCGTGGCGGCGGGGTACCGAACGCTGCTGTTCGGGGCAGCGGCTCCTGGATCGGCGACGGGGGTCTCTGAGGCTGCGGCGGGTCGGGGCGCGGGCGGCGGCCGCCGGGGTGGGACGCGGAGCCGCCGGGCCCGCAGTGCCCCGTGCGGTGCCACGGACCGGCACCGCGCTCAATGCCGCCTCTGTCCGCGCCTCGGGGCCGCCTGAAAGGGCATTGAGGGACCGCGGGAGCGCCGCCCGGCCCTGCGGCGTGGGCGCGGCCTGGACCGGGGGGTCCCCGGAGCTGCGGTGTCCCCGGGTCCGGGCAGGGTGTGTGGGGCACGCGGTGCGTCCCTGCGATGGGCACGGCGGGGCAGCGCAGCTTTGCCCGGGGGTGGATGGGACGGGGGCGGACCGGGTCGGCGGCGGCTGCCGCATCGTAGGGTTACGGTGTTGGGACAGGCTGTGTTTGTGGCTGTAGGCCCGGCTGTGCACCCCGCGGAGCCGGGCGCTGCACTTCCTGGTCAGGTGTCAGCATCCTGCTAGGGCGGGGCTGCCACGTGTCCCTGCTGTCCCCGCAGGAGCAGGGCACGCTCATCAGCACAGCTCCACATGCCGGAGGTGAGGGCTGTGCTGGTCATCACTGCATGCAGTGCTGGTGCTCTTCTCCTCCGTGGGTGAGGATGCTGCTGTGAGGATGCCCAGCACACAGCCTGGGGTTTGCTTTGGTCTGGGGTCGATGGGGAACATGAGGGGCTGAACGTGACAGAAAGGCTTCTGCAGCAAAGCAGCCCTTTGAGGGCCACTGCTTCACCGTGAGGCCGTGCCCTGCTGTCATCCCCAAGCACAGCGCTGCGCTCCAGCTCTCACCTGCTCTTTCCTCGCTGCCAGGCTCTCCTCGCCCGCAGGCTGATGCCCGTGTCGCCCTGCCATGAGTCTATGAGCCCGCTGCGGATCAGCGTGGGTAGCCTGCCCGTCCTCGCGTCCATGACCAAAGGTGCCGACCCCCGCTTCCGCCTGCGCTGGAGGGCCATCGTGCTGTCCTCTGCCTGCGTGGGCTTCGTGCTGCTGCTCTTCTGCCTGCACCGCTCCCCACCAGCACGGCCCATCCTGCCCAACCCGCACGCCCGGCACTTTCGGCTGCAGGTGGAGGATCGCTACAATGACACCTATCCACTGTCCCCACCCCAAAGGAACCCCGAGGGCGTGCGCTACCGCATCGGGGTCATTGCGGACCTGGACACTCAGTCCCGGGGCTCTGAGGAGCACACCTGGTTCAGTTACCTGAAGAAGGGTTATCTGGTGCTGTCGGCCAGCGGGGACAGTGTGACGGTGGAGTGGGATAAAGAGGAGAACGTGCTGCAGTCCCATCTGGCGGAAAAGGGCCGGGGCATGGAGCTCTCGGAGCTGGTTGTCTTCAATGGGAAGCTGTACTCCGTGGATGACCGGACTGGGGTGGTCTACCAGATCGAGGGCAACAAGGCGGTGCCCTGGGTGATTCTCTCAGATGGGGATGGCACTGTGGGGAAAGGTGAGCCCCGTAACGCCCTGCTCACTGCCTGACCTACACACACAGGGCAGGGAGACTTTGTCTCTTTGCACCTTTTTGTCATTCTGCAGGGTTTGAGGGTGCAGTGCTGAGCTGTGCTGCATGATGCTGGGGGGCTGTAGAGTACCCTGACGTCCATGTGTGGCCGAGCCTTGGCACGGCTCATGCTGCTCTTTCCACTGCAGGCTTCAAGGCAGAGTGGCTGGCGGTGAAAGATGAACACCTGTACGTGGGGGGCCTGGGCAAGGAGTGGACCACCACCACGGGTGAGGTGGTGAATGAGAACCCCGAGTGGGTGAAGGTTATTGGCTACAAGGGCGATGTGAGCCACGAGAACTGGGTGATGAATTACAACGCACTGCGGGCTGCGGCTGGGATCCGACCCCCAGGTATGGAGCTCCCTCTTGTTGCTGCATGCCCCTTGCCCTGCCCGGGCTCTCCTCTCAGTTGGTGGGACCAGTTTCTGGAGGATGGCATGGCTGGAGTCGCATCCAGCAGCTGTTTCCCCTGGGCCAGGGATGCCCCTGCCCTGCTCTGGGGGGTGGAAAGGGGCTGGCACTGGGCAGGAAGAGGTGGAACCATTCACAGCTTTGGCCTTCATATGTCTGTCCTCTGCTGCAGCATCTTTTGAAGCGAGGATGGTTGGTGTTGGTGTAGGGGGATGTCCCTGCAGCGTGGCAGGATCCTGGGTGCCCTACACTGACAGACCCTGCTCCCTGCTGCAGGTTACCTGATCCACGAGTCGGCCTCCTGGAGCGACACGCTGCAGCGCTGGTTCTTCCTGCCGCGCCGCGCCAGCCACGAGCGTTACAACGAGAAGGCAGATGAGCGGCGTGGCACCAACCTGCTGCTCAGCTCCAGCCAGGACTTTGGGGACATCACAGTGGGACGTGTGGGTGAGGTGGTTCCCACTCACGGCTTCTCCTCCTTCAAGTTCATCCCGGACACAGATGATCAGATCATCGTGGCACTGAAATCGGAGGAGGACAATGGCAGGATTGCCAGTTACATCATGGCCTTCACGCTGGATGGGCGCTTCCTCCTGCCTGAAACCTGGATTGGGAGCGTGAAATATGAGGGCATTGAGTTTATTTAACAGACTAGAAACCAGAGGGGTGAGGGAGGATGGGAGGGCGCGGGCTGGGCCCTGTTGGTGTGTTCAGAACAAGGAGCATACAGCGTGCCTCCCGATCCAGGGACGCGTGAAGCACTCCAAGCTCTGTAGTTGGCGTCCCGTGTAAAGCACTGGCTTTGCTGCAGCCTGAGTGGCGCGAGTGTTTCGGCAGTGGCACCTGGTGGCAAAGGACTGCCACCACAGGGTGTTGCTCCCTGCCCCCAGCCCAGGCTCAGCTGCTGAAGCAGTCAAGGCAGTGAGGTTTCGCTGCACTGCAGGTGTTGGTGTCCAGAGTCTCTGCAGGGAGTCATTGGCTCTGATGACAGCCACGCTCTGGATCTGCAACCAAGGAGGGAGCTCAGCTGCTCTGCCCCTGTGCCAGCCTGGTGCCCAGGGCATTGTCCTCACATCCCTGCAGCTGTGGTGCTGCAGCTGTGGAGCCTCTCCTCACCTTTCTGGGGATGGGCTCTGACCTGGGCCCTGGGGCCCCTCCACATTTACAGGAAGAGAGGCTCTGCTCGGTGTCCCCAGCACTTTACAGGAGCACACAGGGTATGTGTGTGAGACAAATATCCTCAGGAGAGGAGTGTGTTTGAGGGGGGCCACAGGCCAGGTCCCACCCTGTTTCTGGCTCTCTTGGGGTCAGGGTGTTCACTGGGGCCATGACCACAGCAGGGTGGCAGCCAGGTCAGGGCGAGCTGAGACATCACAGCTGTGGGGGATTTCATCAGGATGTTTCTCACTGTGTTAGCTGTTTTTCCTTCCCCTTTTGCATAAATGGTGCAGCAAATGTGTCAGTAACTGTCTGCTTGGTCATTGTGTTCATGGGAAGGCCTCACGGGGAGAGTCCCTTGGGAGATACTGTGTGCCCTCTGCTCCCAGCCTGGTTCACCAAGGCAGGTGGAGGCCTCACAGCCACCATCCTGTGCAGAGTCACGTCATCCTGCCTGCTGTGCAGACCGAGTGCAGGGCTGTGAGGGGACAAACACATCAGAACCTGCCTGGCTGCTCCCTGCAGTGGTGCAGGGTGCAACCTTTCTTCTTGCAAACCACGCTGCGGTGCCCTCAGTGCTCCCAGCACCGCTTGGGCAGAGGGCTGCAGGCAGTGGCCTTTGTCTCAGTTCATTGCTGAGCGGCCACCCAGTAGCTTCAGGCACTGGGGGCAGCTCAGAACTGGGCCTCGGAGGGCTGGGGCTGGGCTGAGGTGTCCATTGGCATCAGCCCTCCTGTTCCACCTCTGCCTGCCCCAGCACTGATCAGGTCTGGTGGTGCTCGGGGAGCAATGGCCCTGTTTTGGGGTGGGTCTCGCTGTGATGGGCTGAGACCTGCTGTGAGCTCAGTGGGGCTGCCCTCTCCCATTCCCCTTCTCTGCCCCTGTTTTAGTGTCCAGCATCTCTGGAGCTCTGTAGAAGGAGCGCACGCAGCTGGACATGTGTTTCCGCTTAGCCCCAACAACAATGACTCACTGCAGGGCACTGTGCCCTGAGCACACACATTTGTCTGCCCCGCAGCACAGCCCTGACCCCGGTGCTTGGCCTCGTTCTGCTGACCTCGGACCGCTGCTGCTCCCTGCCCACGTCAGCTGCTGTCATGCTCCTCTCTCCTCACCTGCACTGTGCTCAGCCCAGTCTGGAGACAGTGGCTCTACAGCACCTATCCCTCCTCATCCCACAGGCAGCGGGCCCTTGTGTTGTGTCCTCTCCACCCCAGCCCTCATTCCAAGATCCTTCTTCACTCTCCAGGCTGCCAAACCCCAGGTACTGGGTGGCTGCTGGGGCCACATGGCACAACCAGGGCCAGGCTGCCCTGTGCTCCCCTGGACCCACTGAGCACTTGGAGAGAGTGTCCACTGCCACAGTATTTGCCCAGATCCCACTGCCATCTTTCATGCCACCACCCTGCCATGATTGTGTGCTCACCTCCCACACTCCCTGCATGCTCACGCAGGGCTTGGACCAGGCTCAGCTGCCCACGTTTCAGTTGTTTCTTCTCATCCTAAAGTGCAAAAGCTCTGACACTTCCCCTAGATGTGAGCAGGGCAACTCTGTGGCTCAGGAGCAGCTGGCATCGCTGCAGCACTGCTGTCCCTGCCAGCACACCTGCAGCGCCCCACTCAACTGCACCCAGATGCTGCATGCCCCTGCACAGAGATAGAGCTGGGGCTGCCCTCGCTGGGATGGTGGCAATGCAGAGCTGCAGCTGTGCGACAGGTACAGAGATACCAGCAGCATCGCAGGACTGGATGGGCAGATTTTGGAGGCGTGCTGCGGGCACGAGGGAGAGACCCGAGGGCAGCGGCGCATCGCAGAGATACAGAGATGCAGAGTCCCGCGAGCGGCCGAGGGGGAGCGGGGGAAGCGGGGCGGGGGGCGGAAGGGAGGGGGCACGGGGGGGTGGGGGGGGGCACGGGCGGCAGGAGGAGATGAGCTGGAGGAGCAGGAAGGAGAGGAAATGCTTGGGCACAGACATAATGCGGCCCTCCCTGCAATTTGCCGCTCCGCTCGGCGCGGGCCGGGTGCCAGCGCTGTGAGCCGGGCCCGGATCCCGTGCCGCCGCCCAACGACCGGAGCGGGATCCGCCCGGTCCCGGCGCCGCCCCGCGCCGTCCGCTCCGAGGCCCCGGCCGGGACGAACGGCGGAGGGGCAGAGGCCGTGCCGGGATGCGCGGGCGGGGCCGGGCCGGGCCGGGGGGCCGAGCTCGGCGCGGAGCCGGATCCTGCGAGGGGCGGGAGCAGAGCCGGGCTGGCCCCGTGCCATGCAGAGGAGGAGCAGCGAATCCCCGGAGCACATTAAAAAGCGAGGCTTAGCGGCAGCCAGGGGAAGAAAACACCTCCATAGAAGGCAGCGGAGAGTGGCGGCTGCAGCAGCGACCGCAAAGCCGCTCGGGGGGCCGCGGCGGCGGACCCAAACTTTCCGGCGGCGGATCGGGGGCTGGGCGGCTCGGCCGGGCCGGCGGTGGATGAGGCTTTCTGGGGCGCGTCGCTGAGCCGCAGCCGCACGATGCCCGGGGCCGCGCTGCCCAGCCTGCTGGCCTGGCTGGCGGTGCTGCTGCTCGGCAGGGCCCGCCCGGCCGACGCCTGCAGCTGCTCGCCCATCCACCCGCAGCAGGCCTTCTGCAACGCCGACGTAGGTGAGCGCTTTGTCCCCGCGGGGCTCCGCCCGGCCCCGCACAGCCCCCCGACGCGGGGCAGCGCCGCGCAAACTTCGCGGTGGGGGCGGCGGGCGGAAAGTTGGCGCGGGGCGGCGGGTCGAATGGACGGACGGACGGACGGGGCTGCCGCACCGGGCCCGGCCGAGCAGCACCTGCACGTGTGCGGGTCCCGGGGGTGTGGCGGTGTGTCGGCGGCCGGGAGCGGTGTGTGCCCGCCCGGTGTGTGCCCGCCTCTCCCGGCCCATCGCCGTGCCCCGGGGCCGGGCACGGAGCGCGGTTCCTCCCCTGCGTCCCACGGCGATGGGCCCGGCCGCGGCACGTCGGGTGGGAGCGGGACGGTACGTGGCAGCGCGGGGAGCTGACGGCCCCGGGGGAGCGGAGCGCTCCGGTTCCGCTCACAAAGCGGTGCTTTGCCGTAGGCAACGGCCTGGAGCGCACAGCCAGCAGCCGGCCCAGAGCAGCGCCGGGCTCGGTCACCTCCCGTCTGTTCCTTATTTCCAGGCATTTCCTTTCCCCCGTCCCACTTTGTTCGGCTTGGATGCTGCTGAAAGGGAGGGCTTGGCAGCGCCGGGATCTGGATTCCTCTTTCGATGAATAATGCCCTTATTAAATTTTAGCATATTAAACAAACAGACCGGCCCCAGTTCCTGCCGCCCTCCTTGGCGGGGCCGTTCCCAGGCCCAGCTGGAGAGGTAACATTCCCAAGCACTTATGCAGCCCGTGCCCTGCCCCATCCCCTGCTCCGGATCCAGGATGTGCTGGCAGACCCCAGTCCCCCCCCTCTCCCTTTGCAGACCTCGCTTGTGACGTGAGGGTAAATCCCGCAGTGCCCCATTGCTGCCAGGCCCATACAGCTCAGAACGTCACGAGGTGCACTGGGGATGGAGAGGTGCCCGCACAAAATGGAGAGCTGAATTTCCAGAACTGCTGCCGAGCCGGTGACCCCAGAGCAGCAGATCGCCCGCAGTGAGGCTGAGCCTCCATCACACTCACGTCGGGGTCATCCTTCCGGGCCACTTGTGACTCACACTGCCATCCTGGGGTGCCGGCTCACCCGTGACTCAGCTGCTGAGTCACTGCTGTCTCGGCATTCCCGGCTGTCTCAGCAGTCCCCAGGAAGGGCGAAGCGGGGGCTGGTTGTGGCTGCCCAACAGGTGTCAGCTCCCAGGCAGCCCAGTCCTGGCTCTGCTGTCCCTTGTGCCGTCACCCCCAGCTCCAGCCCGTGTCTCCCTCGCAGATGATGTGGATGGGATTTGTCTGCCCTGACCCCAGCTGGGGACGGTGCTGGGTGCTGGCTGGCAGCAGGATTTGATCCTGGCAGGAACTCAGCCTCCTGTGCAACAGGAGCCTGTCCTCCTGCCTCTGATCCCTGCCCTTTGGCTCCCTTCTTGTCTTCCTTCTGTGCCGGGAGGCTCACGGCCAGCTCCTCCCCAGCACAGAGCCAGCCTGGGCCTGGGAGCCGCTGCCGCTTACTGTGCCAGGGCTGCTCCTCTCCTGCTGCTGGCTGCTCTGGGGCCAGGCTGCTGCTGCTACATGGGTCCTTCTGTGCACCCACATCTGCCAGTGCCCTGCAAGGGCCCGTGTGCCTTTGCTCACACCTGGCAGCCACTGGTGAGGCACCATTCTGTGATCCAGAGTGGGATTGGAGCCCAGGGCCATGCTCACAGGCAGTGCCATAGTAAGGCGAGGTGTGGCTCTGAATTGGGCTGCGGGGCTGGGGGTCACGTCATCGCGGCTGGTGGCCTTGGGGCTGGTGACCCAGCCTCTCTGCTCATGCCTTCTGGCCTGGGAGATGGGCAGCAGTTTTCTGGAGGACTTGAGGGCTCTCTGAGTTTATGTGTGTGAGGTGGCAGAGTCCCTCTGTGGCTGCTGGGGTTTGCTCTGCCCATGCTGCTCAGCCCAACGGCAGGGATGTGGCTGGGCTGGGGCTGCAGCGGCAGGCCGTCTCCTGCTTTGCTTCCTGTCTGTAGCATGGAGATGCAGAGGATGAGGGAGGTGATACTTGGGCTGTGTCTTTGGCCGTGCAGCAGTGAAGTCCCCAGCAGCTGTGTTTGGCAGTGCCGAGGGTGATGGGACAGCTGTAGGGTGGGTGTTTGGTACCGGGGATGGGTGACCCTTGGATCCAGGCCCTGGCAGCACTGTGCCAATCTCAGTAGTTCCAAGCCATGCTGCCTTAGGATGGGCTGAGCAGCGGGGGCTGGTGGTGGCCGGGCAGGGCCTGGGGAAAGGAGGTGGTTATGGGGCAGAGGTGAGACCTCTCTCTTCGGGTGGCACCTGGTGCACCCTGCTGTACCCTGAGTGCGTGGGGGGGCTGCCAGCCCCCGGGCCGCCCTGTTGCTCTCAGTGCCGGTGCCTGCCCACCGTGCAGCCGATGCAGCAGGGCTGTGGGCTGACTGCTCAGGGCCGCTGCTGATTGGGCCCCATCCCACTCCGTCAGAGGCCAGGATGACGCACGCCGCGATGGGGAGTGCTGCGCTCGGAGCAGCCGCGCAGGCTGGGGATGAGCGGGGCCTGGCGCGGGCACTTCCTCCTGCAGGCACAGCCCTGTGGGGCTGCTGGGGCTGGGCTGATCCCCCACGTGCACCCTCAGGAGCTGTGATTGCGAGGGGAGCACAGCCACCGCTGCACCTCCATGCTCAAGTGCTCCCACAGACTTTGCGTGCCCAAAGCTCCCTGACCTCATGGTCGAGTGGCAATGCCCCGCTGTGCTCCAGGGGCTCAGGCAGGTGCCCAGTGCTGGGACTTGGAGGAGCTGGGGTGGTGAAGTCCATCCTGGGGACATCTTGCCGTGTTCTGCCTCTGTTGGTGCTGCTCCGTGCCGGGGTGATCCTGGGGCTGTGCCCACAGTGGGGCTGGGTGGCAGCGGGCATTGCTGGCACTGGCACCCAGCCCCTGTGCTCCCATAGCTGCCAGCAGCCCCGAGAAGGGAGCTTTGTTCCTCGGCCATTCAGCCCGGGAACGCTTCCCGTGCTCTGTGGGCACTGATGCTTCCCAGGCAGCCACAGGCGGGGGCCGCGCGCTGGGGCTTGGGGTGGGACGTCCTGGGAAGGGGCTCCACTTGCAATGTGTTGAGCTGGGAGGGGAGTCCTTGGGAACTGAGGTGCTGAGGACACCTGAGGCTGCTGCATCTCCTGCATTGTGTCAGTGGATGTTTTGTGCTGATGGATGCCACCCTATGCCCGCAATCCTTCTTTTGTCTCAAGCGGTCGCACACAGGGCAGAGCCGTGCAGGGTTGGATGTGTCCTTGCACAGGACCATTCCTCACTGCGTGTTGCACGGGGACCACAATGCCAAGGGATGTCCTGTGCCTTGCAGGCCCTACTGAGGGCCTTGGGCCACGTCCAGCCCAGCCTGGTCAGCGTGGAAAGCTGCCATTGCCCACCGGCTCCCGGCGAACACCCACTGCGCGCGTGCCGGCACGTTCCTGGGGGGTTTGCGGGCAGCGAGGGCTGATCACTGCAGAGATGGAGCCCACTGCTGGGCTGGGGGAGGCTGCTGCAGTGTTGCCGGGGCGTGGGGTGCAGGCACTGGGTGCCCTCGCTCTGTGCCAGGCAGGTGCTTGTGCGTGCAAGCAGCTCCGGCGCTCAACATCCTGTGATATGCTCTGCTGCGTGCTGCTGTTATGCGTGGGGCTGGGGCGTGGGAAGGAGCCCGTGCAGAGCTGCGCTGTGGGGCTGCAGGCAGCCAGCAGCCCCTCTCCATCCCAGGACCTGCTCCTGCTGTGCTGAAACTGCGGGCTGTGCTGAGTCAGCGCCGTGAGGTCGGCGCCGCGTTACCGTGGTCACTTGGCTCCCAGCCCTGAGCGCCCCAGGGCAGCGGGTGGGGGGCAGCCAGCAGGCAGGGGCCGGGGCGCTCTGAGGGCACAGCTCAGCTGTGCTTATGCAGCAGATTTTGTGCAGAGTGGCGAGTTAAAGGCAGACACCGCAATTCCTGCCCGTGCTGAGGAAGGGCTTTGGCAGATGGTGACGGGGTGGTGAGGGACGAGCCAGTGTCACGCTGTGCTTGGGGATATGCGGCAGCCTCTGGGTTGGTTCTTTGAGCTCCACAGAGACTTGGGGAGGCCCGGGGGCCGCTCCCAGAGCACCCACAGCATGTGCTGCCGTCACCTCGGGGGCACCTCCACCCGCGTGTCCCCACCTGGGCGTCCCCCTGCGTCCCTCCCTCTCCCTGCTCTGGTTTCTGGCCTGCTGAAGAGCTTGGCTGCGCTGCTGGGGTCTTGGCGGGGAAAGCACAGCGCAGCCGTCCCCTCCACAAAGCCGCACTGTTCAGAACAAATCCGCCTAGAATTGGGCTGCATTTTTGTCAAGTGATTCATCAGCACGTGAATGGAAACGGCTGGAGCCCACTGAACCAGCAGCCGTCCCCCACGCCTGCACTGCACCGCGGGCAGCAGTCGGCTCTTCGGGTGTGTGCGCCTTCATCGTGGCACAGAACAGAGCTGCGGGGCTCTGTCAATCCCCACCCATGGTGGCACAGGGAGCAGGGGCTGAGCTGCCCCAGTTGGGGCTCATCTCCACTGTGGGTGGGTGACAGCTTTGGCACGGCTGCGGGCACCGGGCCCCGACCTGCCTGCCTGGATCCCTTCCCCATCCTCTTCTCCTTTCCAGAGAAAACTGAGTCAGCGCTGATGGGTGCCCACGTGGTGCAGTGCCACCGCTGACCTTCAGCCCAAACAGCTGCACTGTGTGCCCACCGCTCGCCCCGCTGTATTTATAGAGTGCAACCGGATCAGCTCTGTGCTGCGCCAGGTGACAGCGGGCAACGGGGCCCTGCACACGTCTCCACTGCACCCCAGCACCTCTCTGTGGGGACACGGCTGCCATTCCCAGCTCTGGGCACAGGGGTGGCTGTGACCTGTGCAGTTGTGGGTCAGGGTGAGCCTCTCACCACTGAGGTCAGTGCCACGTGCCGGGCGCTCACGTGTGGCTCTGTGTCCTTGTGCTGTGCTGGAGGGGTGACACAGAGACCTTCCCATGGCACAGCTCCCTGCTCCCTGCCCTCTGCTCGCCCTGGCTCTGGGGCACTGTGGCCTCATCCCTTGCTGTGGTGCTGGGGGCAAAGCAATGTGTACAGGTTTGTCTGTGCCAGGGCAAAGCTGTGTGTCCCTGCTGTGCACCTCTGACAGTGTCACTGCAGCAGTGGGTGGGCAGTGCCTCCATGTGTGCTCTGCCTATGCCCACCTCACCAACCGGGCTCACGTCCACATGCTGCAGGTGGGATGCAGTGCTTTCATCCCCTGTTCTCCTGACTGGGTGCTGCTGTGCAGGTGGAGCCACGTTTTACACAGGGTCTGGCCAGCACCCCTGGCTGCATCCCCAGGGGAACAGTGTGCACGGAGAGCAGCTCCACGTGGCTGCAGAGCAGAGAGCTGTGGGGCCTGTGGCCATGCTGCTGCAGTGAGCTCAGCCAGCTCCTCACCTTGCCAGGTTTACTCACTGCCCCAGGCTTCAGGGTTCTCCTGCAGCTGCCTGGGTTATTTTTGCAGGCTGCGAGGGCAGGAAGCAGCCCAGGGAGGATGCAGTTTTTGTGCTTGCATGATGTGGGGGGTCCATGTGCCAGTAGCCAGTGGCTGGCAGGGAGCTGTGGCCGGACACCTCTGTGACTGTATGGTGCAAAGGCAGTGGGCACCGGGTGGGTCAGCCCTGTGTTGGTTGCTGGGGGCTCCTTCTTCCTTCTACACCTGGAGGTGAAGCTGCAGTGAGCTCCCAATGCCCTCGGGTCTCTCCGTTGTGCTGGGCCACGCAGGCGCTAGGCTGGGACATGGATTAATTAATGGTGGTGGACAAATAGTGCTCCCAGGGTGCTGTTGGTGGGGGGTGGCTATGCTATCCCTCTGTGTGAGGGACACTTTCCTGAGGGCTGGGCTACCAGATGGGGGAGAGCTGGAGCTGGGGGGGCTGTGCTCATGGCCCCAGCACCTGCCCATCTCCATGCCCTTCTCCTGCAGTGATCCGAGCAAAGGCCGTCTCTGCAAAGGAAGTGGATTCAGGGAATGACATTTATGGGAACCCCATCAAGCGAATCCAGTACGAAGTGAAGCAGATCAAGGTACAGGGCAGGCATCATGGGGTGGGCAGGGGGGTGGGAGGTGCTGCTCACACCTGCGCTCTGTCCTCAGATGTTTAAGGGCCCTGATAAGGACATCGAGTTCATCTACACGGCGCCGTCCACAGCAGTGTGCGGGCAGCCTCTGGACACAGGAGGCAAGAAGGAGTACCTGATTGCAGGTAGGAGTGGGCACTGACCCACGTCCGAGGGGGGTTGGACTCCAGCAGCCCCCTGGTGTGGGTGTGTGAGCAGCTCTGTGCTGCCTCTCCCCAGGTAAATCCGAGGGCGATGGCAAGATGCACATCACGCTGTGTGACCTGGTTGCCACCTGGGACTCACTGAGCCCTACCCAGAAGAAGAGCCTCAACCAGCGGTACCAGATGGGCTGCGAGTGCAAGGTGAGTGCCCCGAGCCAGGACCTGCACCTGGGGCATCCCTGTGGGTGGGTTGGGGGGGGGGGGGGGCGGGGCGGGATGGGCACTGACCACCTCTGCCCTGCGCAGATCTCACGCTGCCTCTCCATCCCGTGCTTCGTCTCCTCCTCGGATGAGTGCCTCTGGACAGATTGGGCGATGGAGAAGATCGTGGGCGGGCGGCAGGCCAAGCACTACGCCTGCATCAAGAGGAGCGACGGCTCATGCGCCTGGTACCGCGGCATGGCCCCCCCGAAGCAGGAGTTTCTCGACATCGAGGACCCCTAAGCCAAGCGAGTGCATTCCAGTAGCCAGTAGAAAAGCCCAGCGAGATGTTAGACTGGTCCACGCCGACATCGGGGCCTGGAGACAGCATGAAAACCCACACAGCCCCGAGGGGCCGCAGGGCACGGAGCTGCCATGTGTGCGTGGGGCGGGGGGGGGTCACTGCACCGCTCACACTCTGCACCACGCGCACCCTGCAGCAGGCAGGGCAGCCCCATTCCCTGCAGGCTGAATGCTGGTGAGCAGCAGCAGCTGCCCCCGGTCTTCAGGGCCCCCGCTGCCAACTGCAGCTGCCCAGCACCAGGGCCACGCTGTCCCCATCCCATCCCTTGCTGTGGGTGCAGCTTGGCACCGACTGCTCCCACCTGCAGTGGGGCTCTCACCCATTGTAGCCCTTAGGGACGGGATGGGGGTCACCTCTGGCCCCAGGGGGGATGGCTGCAGGACACCGACCCCACACCCCCTCTCTCTGAGCCATTTCCCCCCCCCCCCACACACGGCCGGTCCCGGCTCGGGACGTTTTCATGCTTTGCGTCCCCATAGGGTGACGATGTGGTGCTGGACCAGTCTGGGCAACTTCGACGTGTTAAAGGAAAAAGTGAAAGAAAGAAAAAAAACAAAACGGAAAAAGGAAAAAAAAAAAAAAAAAAAAAAAAAATCCCACCCACCCTCTAATCAGTCCCATATAGGACTCCCGTTCGCTTCTGTATGGTTATATCATATGTGACATTTACTCCTGTCTCTGCTGGTAGCCTGTCTCTGAGTTAATACCCCCACTGTTCTGCCATCAGCTCTATCATTCCCGTGCTGTGATATTTTTTTTGTTTGTTTGTTTTTTTGGTGGTTTTTGTTTCGTTTTGTTTCGTTTTGATTTCCCTGTTAGGTGTTAGAATTGCACTTATTTTTGTAAAGGGGCTCTGCAGTGGGTCGGGGGGAATCATGGAGGGGCTGTGGGGCAGCGCCCGGGCAGGCCCCGGCCCCCGGCCCCCCCCCCAGTCCCCCAGAACTCCCCGGAGCTGCTTTAATTTATGGCCGTGGCCCCGCTCCGGGCCAGCAGCTCGATGTGGTGTATAAAAAGAAGGAGAAAAAAAAAAAAAAAAGGAAAAAAAAAAAAAGACAAAAAGTTTACGTATAGTTATTTTCAGATCTCTGCTTGATAAGTATTAAAGTAAGATGTATCTAACGTGCTGCCGTAATTTAAAGCTCGGGATGGGGG